TATTGCCAATTTAAATAGGGGCGATTTTATTATTTATGTTGAACAGGCTGCTCTCGAAGAAGCAGAAGGTGCAATCGAAGGTGAAGAATCAAAAGTACTTCGTCTCCAAGTAGAATTGGCTCAGATAAAACAAGATTTTGAAAGAAGACTAAGCGAAAAGGAAGAAGAAATTGATAGTCAAAGGTTAGTTCTTGACCTACTTAATAAAAAAATAATAAGTAAAGCAATCAGGCTAATTCATACTTATATAACAGGCGTAACCAACAGAGGTCACTTGAATCAATGCAAACTACTCTTGATTCTGAGAGCAAAGCAAGACAAGAAGCTGTTCGTATGAAGAAGAAGATGGAAGGAGATCTCAACGATCTTGAAATTCAACTTGGACATTCTACTCGACAAGCTACTGATTCCCAGAAAGCAGTTAAAGCTGCCCAAGCTCATGTTAAAGTAGGTTCATATTCGGACATTGACATTTTATTTTTCTTAGTATTCCCACATTGTTAAACATAATTGCTTTTTAGGATTTGGAATTGCAAGTTGATGAAGCTCAACGTCACTCTGAAGATCTGCAAGAACAATTCGCTGTCATCGATCGCAGAGAAAACTTACTCAAGGCTGAAATCGATGAGTTGAGATCAGCACTTGAACAAGCAGAACGTGGTCGCAAACTTGCAGAAACTGAACTTCTTGAAAGCAGCGAACGATCCAATCTTCTTCATACACAAAACACCGCCCTTATTAATCAAAAACGTAAATTGGAAGGTGAATTGCAAAACATGCAAGGAGAAGTTGAAGAATCTGTCCAAGAACAAAGAAACGCAGAAGAAAAGGCAAAGAAAGCAATCACTGATGTAAGTTTGTAAAAATATTTTTGATTGTTCTCCATCAATTATTTGCTGATTTCCATTTGACAAAAATTGTTTTTAAAATTTTCACTTGAATATCATTTCAGGCTGCAACTATGTCCGAAGAACTTAAAAAGGAACAAGATCTTTCATCTCACTTGGAAAGAATGAAGAAAAATATGGAACAAACTGTGAAGATCTTCACAAGACTCGACGAAGCGAACAAGTGCACTAAAGGAGGAAGAAGCAAGTTCAAAAACTTGAAACTAGGGTATGCTGCTTATATACGTACTACCTTATTGTGAATCCATTTGATACTAGGCTATATAACTATTTAAACTCTCGATCTTTTTAGGTGCGCGAACTTGAAAATGAACTTGACGCCGAACAACGTCGCAATGGTGAATCTGTGAAGAACCAACGTAAATATGAACGCAAGTTGAAGGAAGTGACATACCAAGCAGAAGAAGACAAAAAGAATCTGACCCGCATCCAAGATCTTGTTGACAAACTTCAAATCAAGGTCAAAACATACAAGAGACAAGCTGAAGAAGCCGAGGAACAAGCCAACCAAAACTTATCAAAATATCGTAAACTGCAACACGAATTGGATGATGCTGAAGAAAGAGCTGACATGGCAGAATCTGCTCTCAACAAACTCAGATCCAAGGCTCGTGATATGTGAAGCAAAGTAAGTTGAAATTTAAATAACAATCAATTAATTTCAAATACCTTTACACTTTGTTAATCCCAACGTATGCTTTTGTTTTTCAGAGTATGGAATAAAGAACTGATGAATGGCCAAACTGGGAAATCTCAGTGTGCTAATATGTTTATAATTTAAATGGTGACTTTGAAGTCAACTTACAAAGCTGAATAAAATAAATTATACATATCATAATGATAAATGAAATATTTTGTGATTTTGTTTCCATATCAATGGTGTTAAAGTTACGAAAGATTGATGATGGGGCTCTTTTCGCATGGACTTAGTTATGCGTTGTCTTTACTATATACATGTCATGTCAGTTATAGTCTAGGGTCACCATATTTAAAAAAGCAAATTCCGGACAGTGCGTGACTATTTTCATCACCTCGTAGTAAAAATATGCGCACGGACGAACGGTACGAAATAACAATGTTATGTATTAGCAGTGTGCACAGTATTATTACCGATGCACTAAATTTCCTGATTCCGGACATTTGAGCATTTTTTAAATCATTCCCGAACGCAAAATTTAACCCTGAACTCCGGACATGTGCGGAATTTTTCCGACGGTATGGCAACCCTATTATTGTCACAATCTGTGAGTTAATTAGGAAACACGAAAAAGTTTGAGTAGATAAAAACTTACATACTTTTCGGTTTTTTCCGTTCAGTTGTCGAATACTTTGCTTGCCTGTCCGTCCAAGCGTATCTGCCTACCTCTTCCCCGCAAAGAACATTTCACTTTACTTGTACAGATCACTGACCCGTCCTTGCGTGCGAAGTATTGCAGTTTAGGTCGGTGCTCCGTCATTGTCTCTAAATCTTTCAGATCTAATAGTAAAAAGGAGTATTGCTTATGATTAGCACACATTTAGCATTCCTTTACCTTTACACATATTCATGAATTGTTCAGATGAACGTACGTAGTATGCACTTTTGTGCGATTGAATGCATTTTGTTCTTCGCTCTATTTATTTTGCTTTACTTATTTTTCTTTGTATACTACATGATAAAGTAGGGTTGTATAAATAAACGTATATGAAATTTTAAAATGGAAACGAATTTACTGAATAATTCACTAAGAAGGAGGGTCAAATATTTTAAAAAATAATTCGAATTTTGTGCAACGAATATACCAAGTATTCGAATAGTTTTAAAATAGCTGGAAGTGGGATAAGGGCCTGGTGCTGGTCGATACTTTGTTCTTTTGATAATTACTGTAAGGCCGAAAAATACGTTAATAACGCACTTTTATTTTTACTCTGTTAATTATGTTTTAATCTCTGAATTCTTTCGCCGGTCGCGTGGTTCATCATTACCGCAACGGGCATATTAGTGTTGATAAGCAATCTTTTCGCCAATTCTTGTTATGTCACGACTACTACTAAATATTGCGTCTCATCATCGTAAACAGACTTATTAAATAATTGTCGTTCACTTGTATTTTTCTATTGCGTCTGTATTATTTTCGCGTTTAATAAAAATTCCTCAATTTCGTCGTTGTATATACCAGTACGGTAATCAGCCCGGCAGTGATGACTCAGTGTCATATTCCCTCTATACTGACTTAATCAACGCTAATGGCATTCGTACATAGCCAAAATGATTTCCATCGTGGTCCATGAAAAAAAAGTGTTAAACTCGTGCTTGGTCGATGCGCATTAAGATCATTTAGAAATGAAAACGGTATCATAGGTAATGAAAACAAAAACAAAACATCACGTACACACACGTAAACTTGACGAGTGCTCGTTTTTCTCGCTGTCCGCAAGTGCCATTTGTAGATTCTCGCGGGCTTGCCAGACGCCCACGTATGTGATGCGTTTTGTCCAGGCAGGAGAGATCGTATAGGGT